GTCAATCCAAAGAAAAAAGTCTTAGAACTTACACCAAAGCACTCAAAACGACACTAAGTGATGAGGAACTGAACTTAGAAAGGAAAAGATCAACGGAAAAAAAAAAAAAAAAAATATCCGTGAAAATCTGAGAAAAAGAAAGGAAGGAAAAAGACCAGGTCATTATAGGCTACTTCCTCTAGTCGTTCGCGTAATTCGAGAATGTGTTCTTTATTCTCTTTGCCAAGGGAAATTTGCTCTTTAGAAAGAGCAAGACTCTCAAATAGAAGCTCTCGGAGAGACCTTTCGTCGGAATGAGGGATATTCATAGTTTCCTGCTGATCTTCCTCTTCTCCTCCTTCTTCCTCTTCTTATTCTTCTTCACTGTTTGCATTTCCACCCACTTCAGCACCTTCAGCTTGGTGCTCTGTCATAATAACTATCTTGGCCCTCATTTATCGGATTTCCAAACTTGGGGTCATACTAAATGAGGTCTTCATATTTTTTGAGCCCCATCCGATTCAGCAAGTCACTGTCTATTCTGTAGAGATTAGTAAGCTCCTTTTTATCCTCCCCTTCTATTCGTACCTTGTATTTTCTGAAGATTAGGGTAAGAGGCATGGCATAGAATAGGTGTGTTTTTTTTTGTTTTTTTTTTTTTTTTTTTTTTTTTAACGCAATCTTGCATGTGGTGATAGATTATGAAGGTAAGATCAAATTTCTTTCCGTTTAGGACACACCGTATAAGAAAAGCTTCCATGAATGACACATCCAAGCATCCGCCTAATTTTGGAAGGTTGGTATGGATGATGATATGATAAATGAGGCGTGCTTGAACGGTTAACCGACTTGCTATGATTTTGTCAGTGTTTTCAGTGGGGAAATGGCTCATTTGTTGAACCACTTGGAGAGGATCAAATTCTTCCCTATAGTACCAGTTATAGGATGTGAAGTAAGTAATATTGCCAAAAGGAATTTTGAGAATGTGCCGAATACTGTCCATGGTAAGGTGAATGGGAGTGCTTACGACGAAGGAATCATAAGTGTTTTGCCCTAGACTTTTCTCCAGATAAGTGTAAAACAACCTTACAAGCTTAGGGTAGTATGGAACTTTGAGTGATACAAATTCACCTAAGCCTATAGCATTAAATAGTGAGAAAGTATGTTGAATCAATGGTTCATTTTCAGTATTATCAAAAAAATTTCCTTTTTCAACAATCTTGTGGAGGAATCAAGTTTCATAGACTTCCTTGAACTCGGGCTCACGGAAGAGACGCATATTTGGAGCGGGATAGGGATCAGAATGCTCAGGGTTTGGTGGATTAAACCCCCCGGCATCCATGTTATGAGAATCCCTAGAGCGTTTTTCTAGGTTTCTATTAGTTCTAGAGGGATTTTTGTGGGAAGCCATCGATTCCTTTTGACAGATGAAGGATTTTGTGAATGAATGGCCAAGTTAAGTGCGAACAGAATCTAGTTTAAAATGATGTAACAGAGATCGATAGATAATAACCAGAAGTGAACCTGATGAAAAGATGATGGATTCAAAGGGTGAAGTGTAACTTACCTTAAATCAAAGAGAAGAGAGAGTGAGAGATGCATAAGATTTGCAAGATTCGCAGTCGCCTTTAGAGAGCGAGAGAGAGAGAGGGTTTTGAGATTGAAGATAAAATAAGATTTGTGGGCTACTTAAACACAGATATGGGCCTTACGTGTTGGAGCCCCGAAGAATTGGTCGACCGAAATGGCTTCATTGGTCGACCGAAATGGCTTTTGAAGAGAAATGATTTTCCTTCAGTTCGGTAGACCGAAATGCTTGAAGTATTGATCCTGAAGTTTATTCAGCAGTGGTTATGGATATCTTTCTCTATTGCCATTTCGATTTCTCGACTAAGTGTGTAAAATCTATCTTCTTGAAGCGGCTTCGTGAGAATGTCTGCCAATTGATTCTCAGTATTGATGAAAATCAATTCAATATCACCTTTAGACACATGATCCCTTAAGAAATGATATCAAATCTCTATATGCTTTGTTTTAGAATGTTGAATGGGATTCTTTGATATGCAAATGGCATTGGTATTATCACATTTGATAGGAATTTTGTCAAAGAATAAACCAAAGTCTTCAAGCTGTTGTTTAATATATGGGATTTGTGCACAGCAGCTACTAGCAGCAACATATTTAGCTTCAGCAGTGGATAAAGTAATAGAATTTTGTTTCTTGTATGACCAAGATACAAGTGACTGACCTATAAAGTGACATGCACCGCTTGTACTTTTTTTGTCAACTTTATAACCAGCAAAATTAGCATCTGTAAATCCTACAAGTTCAAAGGATGTATGCCTAGGATACCACAAACCTAAGTTAATAGTACCATTCAAGTATTTAAAGATGCGTTTGACAGCATTCAAGTGAGATTCTTTGGGACAAGATTGAAACCTAGCACATAAGCACACACTAAATATGATATCTGGTCTACTAGCCGTTAAGTAAAGAAGACTTTTGATCATCCCTCTATATTTCTTGATGTCAACTTCCTTGCCTTTCTCGTCCTTATCAAGCTTTAAGGAAGGACTTATGGGAGTTTTAGCATGTTTGGTGTCTTCCGAGCCAAATTTCTTTAGCAAATCTTTAGTATACTTTGATTGGGATATAAAGATTCCATCAAGAGTTTGTTTGATTTGTAATCTTAAGAAGAAGTTGAGTTCGCCCATCATGCTCATTTCAAACTCGTTTTGCATTGAGATGGCAAACTCTTTACTTAGATAATCATTTGTTGATCCAAAAATAATGTCATCAACGTATATTTGAATGATCAACAAATTACCATTAATGATTTTAGTAAAGAGTGTGTTATCAATCTTACCTTTATTAAACCCATTTGAAAGTAGGAACTCATTAAGTCTTTCATACCAAGCTCTAGGAGCTTGCTTCAAACCATATAAAGCTTTAGTTAATTTAAAAACATGGTTTGGATTATCATAGCTTTCAAAGCCCGGTGGTTTCTCTACATATACTTCTTCATCAATAAAACCATTTAAGAAAGCACTCTTTATATCCATTTGAAATAATTTGAAATTTTTGTGAGATGCAAATGCAAGTAACATTCTTATGGCCTCAAGCCTAGCAACAGGAGCAAAAGTCTCTTCATAGTCTATACCTTCTTCTTAGTTATATCCTTTTGCAACAAGTCTAGCCTTGTTCCTAATAATAGTTCCCGACTCATCCTTTTTGTTTCTAAAAACCCCTTTTGTGCCGATAATTGTTTTATTTTGAGGACTAGGGACAAGATTCAAAACTTTGTTCCTTTTGAATTGAATGAGTTCTTTTTGTATTGCCAAAAGCTAAGATTCATCATTTTCAGCCTCATGTATATTTTTAGGTTCGAATTGAGAAACAAATGCCACAAAATTGCATATATTTCTTAATTGTGACCGTGTACTAACACCTTTGGATGGATCACCAATAACTTGGTCAATAGGATGATTATGAACTAACTTCCATTCATTTGGAGTAGTTTTATTTTGAGAGGTATCATCAATTGAATTGGAACTTTGATAGATATCAATAGGAGACTCATTTATGTTGATATCATTGATACTCTTCTCAAGATCTCTAGGGGACTTATTTGTAAGTTCATTGGTACCCTTTTCAAGTTCAACTTCTTCATCATTGCCCATCACACTTTTTATGGGAGAGGTTGGTGATTCATCAAACACAACATGTATGGATTCAACCACAACTAAGGTCCTCTTGTTATAAACTCTATATGCTTTACTTCTAGAGGAATATCTAAGAAAAATGCCTCTATTAGATTTAGCATCAAATTTTCCTAGATTATCCTTGTCATTGAGGACAAAGCATTTGCATCCAAAGACTTTGAAATAACCTATATTAGGTTTTCTTTTGTTCCATAACTCATAAGGTGTTTTGTTAAGAATTTTTCTAATAATAACTCTATTTATAACATAGCATGAAGTGTTTATGGCTTCAGCCCATAGAGATCTAGGTGAATTGTGTTCATTTAGCATGGTTACAGCCATTAGCATGGTTCTAGCCATTTCTTGAAGAGATCTATTTTTCCTTTCAACAACACCGTTTTGTTGGGGAGTCCTAGGTGCCGAAAGATTGTGATTGTAGCCATTTTCATCACAAAATCCTTCAACGTCTTAATTGTCATACTCTCTACCCCTATCACTTCTAATGGCTTTAATTTTACATTCCTTTTCATTTTTAACTCTTTTGCAAAATTTTGAAAGAATTGAATGAGCCTCATTTTTGCGTGTAAGGAAGAATACCCAAGTGAATCTAGAGTAGTCATCTACGATCACAAAGGCATAGAGTTTACCACCAAGACTAGCAATTTTCTCCGGTCCAAAAAGATCCATATGAATCAATTTAAGTGGTTTTGAAGTGGTTATATCCTTTTTCCTTTTGAAGGAGGACTTAATTTGCTTGCCAATTTGGCAAGCACTATACGGTTTGTCTTTTAAAAAATTTGTCTTGTGGAGACCTTTGACAAGTTCATTTTTAGACAATCTTGAGATTAAATCCATGCTAGCATAACCTAACCTCCTATGCCACAACCAACTATGTTCATTTGATGACATGAAACATTTAACATCTTGTTCTTGAAGTTCACCTAAGAGCAAGGTGTATATATTACCATTTCTAGGAGCACAAAATATTTGAAATTCATTTCTTTTAACAATGCATTTATCCGATTTAAAAATCACATCAAATCTATTATCACAAAGTTGACTAACACTAAATAGATTATGCTTTAAACCTTCGACAAGTAAGACATGTTTTAATTGATAAAGAAGGAGAAATACCTATGATCCCAATGCCAACTACCTTGCCTTTTAAGTTGTCTCCAAATGTTACGCTTCCTCCTTTTTATTCTTTTAGAGAGGAGAATTTTGTGCAGTCACCCGTTATATGTTTTGAACATCCGCTATCTAGAAACCATTTGTCCTTGGAAGATGTGGAGACTTTGAAACTATCCTACAAAAGAGATTTCAAGTATTTTCACTTGGTACCCAAATCTTGTTGGGTCCATGGGAGTTAGCTAAGAGCACATATGTTCCTTTAAGAACCCACTTCTTTATGTATTTAGGCTTTCTCTTTGAGCACTCTTGAATAAGATGACCCATCCTTTTACAATAATTGTATCGAGAATTTTTGTTCTTGCTTTTAACAAAGTAGTTAGCCAAAGGCTTTCTCTTTTTTAATAGACATGCTTTCTTATCAAAAGGGTCATATCCTAATCCATTTTTATAAAAGACACTTCTTTGAGCACCTAGCATAAGTTTTAGATTTTTGGTACCTTGAGTAAACTTTGCTAGACCATCAATTTGGTCTTCAATGATTAACTTCAAGGATGCATTTTCAGAGATGAGTTCAGGTGATCCTGTTTCTTTAAGCAAAGTGCATTCCTTTTTCAAGCACTTATTTTCATTTAAAAGAGTTTGAAATTTGCTTTCAATGATAAGTTTTTCTCTTCTTTGAGAGGCACATTTTTTGACCATTTTACCTAGTTCATCATGCAATTCTTTAAAATCATCAAGTAATCCATTAAATGCATCAACTAAATCATCATAGGACATTTCACATTTAGAGGAAGAGTTATAATTAGAGTTTACCTCATCCCTATTTGCCATGAGAAAGAGGATTGCCTTTTTAATATCACTTTCGGAGCCATTTGAGTCGCCATCTTCCCAATTGGCTTGCATTGCTCTTCTCTTTTTCTTTTCCTCTTTGTAAACATGACAATCAGCTTTGAAGTGTCCCGACTTTCCACAACGAAAACAGGCAGAGGTGTCTCGTTTGCTCTGTTCATTAGATGATTCACCCTTCTTGAACCTTCCCTTGTTGAATTTCTTCCTATGAAGAAATCTTTTGAAGGATTGAGTGATAAGAGCCGAATCATCATCTTCACTTTTGTTGCCGGCAACTTCCTTTTTTATTTGAGAGACTTTGAGAGTAATTTCTTTCTTTCGATGATGATCTCCTTCTCTATCTTTTAAAGTGATCTCCCATGAGAGAAGAGAGCCGAGAAGTTCATCTAACTCAAGTGTGTTGAGATTGTGAGCTTCCTTAATTGTCGTTGCTTTTGCATCCCATTTTTCTGGTAAGCTTCCTAAAATTTTCCTTGCAAGATCAGAGTTAGTCATAGTTCTTCCAAGATGTTTCAACCCATTAATAATGTCAGTAAATCTCACAAACATTGCACTAATAGACTCATTTTCATTCATACGAAATAATTCATATTGATGCATAAGGATGTCAATTTTGGATTCCTTGACCTGTGAAGTTCCTTCATAAGTAACCTGAAGTTTATCCCAGATTTCTTTAGCTGTGGTGCAAGTAGAGACTCTATTGTATTCACTAGGACTTATAGCACAATTTAGATTGACTTTGGCTTTAGCATTTAAAGAAATAAGTTTATAATCCTCGGTGTCCCATTCAGCTTCAGTTTTAGGGATTCTTCTTGTGTCAACAATTTTCATTGGAACAAAAGGTCCATTAACTATAATAAGCCAAATTTGATAGTCAACGGATTGAAGAAAGTCAATCATAGTATTTTTCAAATAGCCGCAGTTTGTTCCATCGAACCAAGGAGGACTAGTATTAGATTGGCATTCTTGATGAAGATGACCATTTAAGTTTGCCATGATCATTCTCTAATACACTTAAGCTTTTTCAATAGAGCTCTAGCTCTGATACCAATTGTTGCCCAGATATAGACTCTAGAGGGGGGTGAATAGAGTCTAAGCAAACTAAGGTCAATTTTGGGTTTTAATTAATCAACTAGAACAAAGCTTAACTTCCTTGATAAATATTGAAGAAAATAATCTGAATTTTAAACTTCAAAGGATAATATTCATCAAACAAAATATATAGCAATAAATGTAAGAGATAGAGATAGAGATTGCAAATATATACTCAGCGATTTTAGCGAGGTTTAGAAACTCCTACTCCTCGGCTCAATACCCCTCTTGAGACTTCCCAATTCACCATGGCTTCTCCTTGTAGGTGGAGAGCAAACCTTTTACAAGAAGCTCTTCCTTACTTCTAAGTGCTAAGAGAAACACCTTCTTTTAGTCTTTCTTTGGCCACACCAGCCCTTACAATATTTGAACAAGATTGATGAAGTGCAAAGTGATCTCTCTTAGTTCTAAAGTACAAGATTCAGCTCACTCTAGAGTATGTATGAATAAATTGAAGCTCAATACTCTTTTGATTATAAGAAGTGTGTTTATGATAATGAAAGGCTTTATGATTACAAGAAAAACTTTCTCAATAAATGCAACAACCTTTTATAAAGGCAACTAGTCATTATATAGACTTTCAGAACTATCTGATATGAATTCTAGCTGTTGGACACACACTTCGAGGAAAAATGGCCGTTTGAATTTGAATTTTCGCAGGTTTGGTAGTCTGAAATAGAATTCTCTTGAGGTTCGGTCGACCGATTTAGTTCGATGTTAATTATTAGCCATGTTTCGGTAGACCGATGAAAACTTCCATCTGTTTCCGTCGACCGAAACTCCTTCCTCAAAAGCTCTAAAACATTCTGTGAGAATCGGCTCTGCTGATTTATTTACCTCTTTAGTTTCAGTCGCCTGAAACTCAAATGTGTATTTTTAATTTGCTAGGTTCGGTAGACCGAACTAGAATGGCCCTGAGTTTCGGTAGACCGATATTTCTTAGAAATTTTAACCCAAGCTTTTTAATAGAATCGGTCGACCGGTTTAAGGTATCCTTCCATTTCAGTCGACCGAAATGGAACATGTAACTTAGGAACATATTTTGATGAGTTGAGTTTGGTCCAATGATCCTTAACTTTGATGAATGATTTTCTATGCATGATTTTGAGATATTGAGCTTCAAGATGTTCATATATATTTTAATAAGGTTTCCTAAAGAGCTCACCATCCTAACTAACCCCATTTTGATGAGATGTTGAAGACTTGTCTTTGACTCTTGATTCCTTAGTCTTTTTCTCATGCCTTGGTATTGCTTCTTCAGTTTTGCTTTTCTATTGTAGTGTCTTATCTTGATGAAAGTTTTGATCTGTAAGTTCACTCAAGTAGACATTAGTGTACATATAACATCATTAATGAATTATGATCATCAAAAGCCTTAGATTTAAGGTCAACATATGCTCCTATGGACACCGGGAGCAACCAAAGAGCTTTTCCACTAAAGTAAAGATACGTATTTCGTGGAAACAACTAAGAATGAAGGTACGTGAAGTCAAAAACCAACTCCGAATACAAAAAGTGAGGTTGTGCCAAAAAGTGACCATCGGGGAAAAAGATGAAAAATGAATAGTGTCGAAAAATGAAAAAAATGGAAATGACGCGGTCCTTTAAGGAAGTTGTCAATCCAAAGGAAAGAGTCTTGGAAACATTCCCGAGCACTCAAGACAACACTAAGTGATGAGAAACCGAACTCAGAAAATAAAATATCAATGGCAAAAAAATATTCGTAATATTTGAGGAAAAAAGAAAGGAAGGAAAATGACCGAGTCATTACAAGATGGATGTAAGTTCGCTTTTATAAGGATGCTAGAGTTTGAAATTATTTTATATATGGATTTGAACTTTATGTGGGGACGATTGTTGTTGTGCATGATGTTGAATGTTCAAGATTGTCTTTGGATAGTCATAATCTACAAACTTCTTGTAATTTTCTATTTAATCATTGTCGGGATGTTATGCTATGCTAAACAGGTGATGAAAGAGCTAAAGTGCAATTTAGGTACAAATTTTGGATGTTTGTAGGTGCCATATTTGGAAACCTCAAGAGACTATAAATCGTCCACTAGGGTTAACCTAGGGGTTTATAGGCTTATTGTATATGCTAAATGCAATGGTGATTCCAACGAAAGTGGACTTTATGTTATTATTATTATTATTATTATTATTTTGTTTAGTTTTATATTGCTAAGGGACTAGCAATATGTAAGTTTGGGGGTGTGATAAGCGATGAATATTACAAATTTGAGCCATCAAACGTGCATATGTTAATGCTTTAGTGATAATTTTATCCAGTTCTTGTGTTTATTTTTGTTTATTTGCTTTTCATAGAATTTTACCCAAAGAGATGGTTAATTCCATGTATTTAGAACTTATTGTGATGTTCTCGGTGCTTAAGGAGAAGTTCGGGACTTTCCGGATCAATTTAAAGCTTAACCGAAAAGAAAAATTCAGGACCCATTTTAGTATTTTGGGCATAACTTTTTACTGGAAACTCAAAATTGGGAAAGTGCAACGTCACTGCAAATAAGACTCAAATTCCATCATTTTTGTGTCTAATTCAAATTGCACGATTCGTACTCCAAATAGGTTAAAACAGCAATATAACTTTGGAAACATTTACTAAAAAAAAAACTAAGTGTTGATAACAAGGCTCGAGTGCCATTCTCAAAAATTGGCTAAGTGTTTGGAAAAAGACGCTTCGAAAAATTTTGGCAAAAATTTAGCTAAGTATGGGATTTAGGGCTCGAGCACTGTCAATAGCGCTCAAGCACTGTTTATAGGGCTTGAGATCTAATGACAGGGCTAGAGCACTATTTTGCCTCGGAGTTAAAACCAGGTGCGGGAAAGTTGTAAAATCAGCCTTTTTGGTCCAAACGGGCCCAGACGTCTCCAAAAGCTGTAAAGCCTAACCAAGATGGGTTAGGAATTGTTCTTCACTATTAAAAAAGATGAGAAGATACATTAATGTACTCTCTTATCTCTCTTGGTTCTCTTACCTTATGGCGGCTTTTAGGGTTTTGAAGATTAAAGATTCCAGTTGGCGGTCCATAGAGATGGCTTCTACACCAATAATGATGACATCCTTTCTCTCTACAAGTAGCTAAAGCATTCGTTAGGGAATTGATGTAACCATAGTCTGAGTAGCATGGTTTGATTGTTCTAAACTTTGGGAATTTTTATATGTACATTGATTGCAAGATTTTGAGTAACTAACTTAATTGTACTAAGCAATTGGGTTTTAATGAATAATTTTTTTTTTTTTTTAATGAAATTGATCTCTTGTCTTAGAATTCATTTTGCTTTAATCAAACTTAAACAATATTTATTATGATAGATTGGTGGCTAAGGAATTCTCTTAACGGTTTAAGTAGTGATAATGCAATGGTGCTAAATTGAATATGTATGAATGAATGTTTTGATAATTTATGCCTAGGGAAGACGAGTTATGATGTATCCTAGATTAGAGTAGTTAGGTAGACAATTCATACTAGCCGAAGATGAGTTATGGCTTAGTATTTATTCATATATGTCTTCTTAATTGAATTAAAGCATGCCTGTAGCCACTTGATTCCTGAACATATATAAGTTTGGATTTCCCCATACATGAAGCAATTGACCATGTTACGAGGCTAATAGTGAAGTCAATCCCTAAGTTCTTCTCACTTTGATATCATCCCTTGATAATTTAGTTTATTTTCAATTTTATTCCAATTTAGAAATAGAAAACACCAAATCATCTTTCTCTTGAATTTAATTAGGATTAATTTTATACTTGAAAATCCACCACAGTCCCTGAGGTTCAACACCCTCAACATAACCCTATCTTACAATGATTCGTTCTATTGTGAGTGGTGTTTATCATTGATAATACACACATCATTAACATCATAAATACACAAAAAATCATACAATAGGCAACACATGCATAGTATAAGCATGAATAAAATACGTAAAACAACCTACTATGATTTACATCTATATTACAACATGTATGAGCATAATAAATATCATATAGCAACTTAATAGTCGATTAACACATGTTTAACTCAAATACCACAATTTCAAATATGATTATTGTTAGTTTTTCCATCAAATCTCAAAATATATGAGTTTAATAAAATTTCATGCAAGTAAATCATATAACACTGTTCCCAAAGCCTTAGAACATGCTTGGGTCCTTTAAAAATCAATTCGGGGTTATTCGGAACACTTTTGGGGCAAATCAGGTCCCTAGTGATTGAGCACACCTTTACTGTGCTCGAGCATTGTTTTACAAATTGGTGAGTGCCTGAGCATTGGCTGGTAAAACCAGCTCGACAGCTTTGAAGTCGCCACCGTCGTTCTCCACCAGTCTGGCCTCTCCTTCCTCTTCGTTGGTTTGACCTTCCTCTCTTATTGCTCCTTCATTCTCTCTTCTTTTTCTACCCACTCTTCCTTTGTCTCTCTTGGTTCACTTTCTACCTCCCTTTTTTCTTCTAATGTGAAAAAGCCTTGTATAGGTATCACAATGTACATATATATATAATAACCCACCAAGGCCCCCTCTAAAGCCCAAAGCTACATCATTTGGTCCAACCATTCTAAGTGCAGTCCATTAAAAATTTAAATAAACAAAACAAATAAATTTAAAAGATTAGATACACAAAATTCACATTTAATACACATAAGCATACACACGAACACAATCATACAGACAACCCATTAATTGCATACAAAATAAATACACGAACATGCCAAATCATCATGTAATAACGAAAATACAATTTCAATGAAATCAAGCCAATTAATCAATCAACAATTTAATCACTCAATTAAAAATCAAATAAATCAATTAAAAACAATTAATTCAAATAAATAAATACTTTAAAATATTGGAGTATTACACCAAGATAGAATCAGAGAACAAC